CTTTGGTACTTTTAGAAGAATCTGCACCAAACAACCCCTATATAGCCCTAACAGCCCTGACTATTGGTCTTGTTTTAGAGAGCAAAGAATTCTGCTTAATGCAATACCATGAAATTATTCTAGACTCGCAGGCAAAGTAGAATAATGTAGTCGTGAAATAGCACTATTTTCCCGTTTTTCCGTTGTACACTCTAGGTATTATCCGCTCTTGATATCATATATATATATAAGCCTTAGCAGTGTTGCACATTATCATGCCTATACAAATATGAGTTTTTCTTTTTCTTTTTCGCAATCACCTTTATTTCCAATTTTACCTCACAATATACTATACTTCCCCATCTTTCAATTTCATTGACAGAGAGAGAGAGAGAGCTATTAACAAAGTAAGTCCATCTAACCTCATGATAACCACCGTACCATCTAACGGTATGGAATCTCTTTCTGAGATCAACTAAACCACCGCAAAAACGTGAAAACGTGTAAAATGCCATGCCACATTTTGATTCATATAATGCAACATATTATCAGGAGTCTATCAAAATTGATAGACTCCTGATATTATTCTACAACACTACCAGCCATTGATTTTCCCATTCTACCGTAAACATTTTCATTCGTTATTCTTATTGATGAAATGCCTATAATAATATACTGATGATACTGTAACAGCCAGCTTGTGTTTGATGCAAAATTCAAAATTCCTGGGCATGGGATAATACAGAACACGTCTAAGCTGACTTGTTTTGTGTGTGTTAACTCTACTGCTCTACACAATCAAACTATAGTTACCTTTCGTCTGAATGTACCAGAACTCATGAATGTACTCAAACTAGTTTAATTTATGCATAGGTTAGATAACCTACTAGATTTTTCACAGCCTATTTGGGGCAGGGATCCGGCATTCATTGAGTTGTTACAGTCACAAACACAAATTTGATACTAATTATCAGTGCGACCTGAAAAGAAGTTTTTTGTCTATAAACTGTACACTTTTTTGCATCTCACACTGATTTCATTATACTTAAACTAAAGCCAGTATTTCGAAATTAATTTCCAACCAGTCTCGTGTTTTCCCCACATGTGATACTTATCGTTATTGTTTGAGTAACAGCAACCGTCTAGAGTAACGCTAACATGTCTTAGAACCTTCGTACTGATTCACCAAAACATGCACAAAGTTTTTATTAGTCGTTTTGATTACCGCCGCTATTTCTTGCAAATAACGGACTATCTCACGTTAAATCGAGATATCGGCCAATTTAAAAAAGAAATGAAGTAAACTACACAGAATCAGATACCCTTTTGTTCGAATTAGGTGCACTATGGGTGCACTTGTAACTTGTTTGTGCACTATGGTGCCATTTGCAAATTAATTGTCACTCTAATCAAATATCAGTGTTGTAGGTCTCGAGGCTGGTTTCGTTGGTCTCAGCCTCAGCCTTGGCCTCGGAGTGCAATGACTCGGACTCGAGGACTTGGGTCGAGGCCGGCTAGAGGCCACTACATAGTACATAACTGTACGTATTGTAAACACGCAGTTTACAAGAATTTAAAACTAAAACTCCTACCTAATTTTATGCGACTAGCTGTTTATTCACATTGATTTTTGCCAGTTGAGTGAGTGGAGCTTACTTAGCCTTAAGATCTCGGGTGTTGAGAGTTTCGCGCCGTCATCTCGTCTACTTATTTTATTGTTACCTGACAATGTCGCCTCCTGACAATTTTATAAAAATAATTTGACTCACGGTTTTAGGTTTCAATGTGTAGGGTTTGGGGTAGAAATTATAGTTTAGGATTTTTTTTTTATCAAAACTGGACTCGGACTGGGACTCGGGTGGTGTGGACTCTGACTCGGACTCGGACGGCGTGGACTCGGACTCGGACTCAGACTCGGAGGGTGCGGACTCGGACTCGGACTCGGACTCAGACTCGGGGGGTGCGGACTCGGACTCGGACTCGGGGGGTGCGGACCTGACTACAACACTGTCAAATATACCATGGTGTTACGGCATATTCAATTCCAATTTTCTATGCTATAACAGCATAAATTCTTATTGTTTTTCAAGTTGGTGAATCAGTAATATATTCACTATGGAGTGAGACTATGTTACGCATTTTTTTAGAATGTGCGTTTTTGAGTAACGATTTCGAAATATCTGCTTTAATACATTGAAAGAACAACCATACAAAGAACAACCCTGCAAAAACATCATCATATGGTTTATGCCTGGTTGGCCTACTCCCATTTCGCCTACGGCGGAATTCCCATTTCTTCTATAGCAAAACTTCCAGTTGGTCTACACCCATTTTGCCTACTCCCAATTCGTCTACACTAAAAATCCACCCCATTCCCATTTTGTCTACCAACACTTTGTCTACTAAATAATCATTTATAAATGTAATATATGGTTTTGATTAGCATACATAGACTAGACGGAGTGGCATCCACACTAATTTTTCCTGGTATTTGTTGTAATATCAATACTATGACGAAATAGCACTATTACCCATTCTGAGAGTAGACGAAATGGGAGTAGGCGAAATGGGAATATTGCCCATTCTGAGAGTAGACGAAATGGGAGTAGGCGAAATGGGAATATTGCCCATTCTGAGAGTAGGCGAAATGGGAAGTGGGAAAAATGGGAGTAGGTGAAATGGGAGTAGGCCAACTGGGATGTTACCCATCATATAATCACAAATACCAAAAACACAATCATATAATAAATATGGCAAAAGGTCATGAAATATTAGAACTAATTCTGCAACACGATAAAAGTATGATCAGCCCATGTGACTTACCACTAATTGTATATGGTTTTATAGATCCAACCTCCTCAATCTTTAGTACCAGCAGATAAATTCCATCTTTAGGAACAGTGACAATGAGCTAAAATAAAGGTTATACCCTGTCTATATGACACATACCTATTGTTTCCTTATGGTATATATCTTATTTTCACATTGCACAGGCATTTGGTCACCCTTCTATGTTTGTGCACACAACAGTTGCTGTTTTTAACTATAATTTCTATAAATCATAGTAGGTGACAAAAAACTTAATACACACAAATAAATTTGCAAAACAAATCACAATTGGCAAAATAACTTTTTTGTATCATTTTGTGGCTTACAAAACTGTTAGGGGTACTTTCTGGTATACAAATAATAGTGTATAACCACAAATATAGCAAGTGTCAAGGAAATATAGCCCGTAAAATGTATATGTTCAGGGTTCTCCCTACGTTGCGCAAACGGGGCGCGCGCGTTTGGGAAAACTCCCCCCTGTTTCAATCGTTGCGCCCCGTTTAAATTACCTCCGCCCTGATTAAATTTCACCACAATAAAAGTTTGCCAGCGCGGGAATCGATCGTCAAGAATTATCATTCGCCAGGACACCCGGCGCGTGTATTTTTACTGTGCCACGCATGCACTGCACACAATACACAAGTACAAACAGTCAACCTGTCCCACACCAAACACTAACTGTACACAGTACACTGGCTCGGCTATCTTATATATACAAGAACCCCAAATACCGTCTATGGTGTGGTGACGATTTTACGCATTAATTAGTGGTACGGTAAAAAAACACGCCCCCCGGACCCCCCTAGATTCCCCCCTCCCCCCTCCCCCTCCCCCTCCCCTCCCCCCTGTTTGAATTTCATCCTGTGGAGACCCCTGATGTTTGCTACTCACCCCTTTGGTGTTTTTATTCGTTGACGGTGATTTTACACTGGCTTCTGTACTTTTAGGTGATTTCGTATTGTCTAGCACATGAGATTCATCTTCACCAGTTCCCATCTGAGGTTGTGATGATTTTGCACTATCAGGCACAACACTGCTGTCTAATTGAGATGTTTGCTGGGGTGCTGTACCAAAGAGTTGCAGAAGACGATGTTCATTTATAATATTAAGGTGAATTGTGGCACACTATAATAAGTATGAAAGTACAAGTTTGTGCTTATCATGACTGACAGCATGAACAAGAGCATTGGCGCAGCACTGCATAAGTATAAGCTTAAGATTTAATGAATAAATAAATAAAAAGGACATTTAATGTAAATGAGTAGCAGTATAGTAGGTATATTAGATTCATCGCTATTACATGAAGGTGCTGATGGGATATGGTGTGAGGCATGATATAGCCATATATGTTAACCTTTGCATGAAAAATGATACTTTTTTACTGTCAGTCCTAAATTTCTTTCTGGTGTGATTCATTATTTGATTCTATAAATTATCTCTTTGTTGTGAATTTCGGTTCGCCTGGATTGCTCAGCTTATACTTAAACCACTTGCTTTTCAGATTGCTTTAGTAATTTACTAGAAAAATGAGTATGAAATGAAATTTACTAGGAACAGAAAAAAGCACTAGACTAAGATTTGAGGTAACACATTGACACCTGCCTGCCCGACTACCGATATAACACCACACCATGTCACACAAGTCATTACCTAAATCATCTGGTTCAGCACTTCCTCTCTTTCTCCGTTGATGTGACTTCTCCACTGAATCTCCTTCTTTTTTATTTGCTTCTGCTCCCTGCCAAAAGTTTCACTCTAAGAGATCACACTTGCCAGTTCACAAACAATTGCTAGTTCTCGAAGAGGACCCCTGTTACCAATGCAAGACTTGATTAGGTGCAGTGGTCCAGCGATATGCGGTTCATCTATTATGTGGAATTAACAGTACCATGGGAGGATAAAGTGGATAAGGCACACAAAAGAAAAAAGCTACAGTATACTGAAGCAACTTAAGCAGAGCTGTCAGACTGGAAGGCAAAAATATACCCAGTGAAAAAGGGTCCCAGTGCACACAACCTATTTACCTGCCTTATAAATAAACAAATAAATAATGCAATAAAATAAATATGGATATACACATAGCTGTCTCTTAGAAAGTGTACAGATGGGGTACCAGTCCAAGTTTATTTGTGTATGTATGCATTGTGATATATTGTATAAAACTGAATGACAGCACATCTAGCTTGAAAGCTGAGGGGTATATATAGTAACTGTAAGCATAGCCATATAGTATTAAAAAACCAACCTTATTAGAATTCGGTTGTTCTTGAGATAAATCCGAATTTTCATCAATACTTTCATCACCTCCGACCAAAGACTAAAATGACAATACATAAAACAAATCAGAACATGTTGTAAAAATCTATAAGCAATATAGTTATCAAATCGTTAATGCAATACAGCTGCTGTTTGTGGGAAAACATTTGTTGCGTTTGCCTGCTTGGCAAAACCCACTAGTCATCTAGCTGTATTATGTATAGCTAAACATGTGTACTTGCAATTGTAGATGGAAGTTTTGGTAACACAACAAACACAATAGAAAACGTGTTCTATGATAAACTTACTAATTCAGCTATTAAGCTATTCTTATAACAAATCAGAGAGACAAAAGAAGCAGAATGTTCAGGATATCTTTTGCTTTACTGTGTACTGAATATGAACATATTGTAGTGTAGTCAATGCATTATGTTTTACTGACTGCAATATTTTATTTATGTACAATCTATGAAACATGAATATATATCACTTTACAGTAAGCAGAAACATCCGGTCTTTGGGGCCGTGTTACGAGCAGAAACTGACTTGTTTAGTTTAGTGTCTAGAGACAAGAGCCCACAACATTATACACATGAATCTAGCTGCCACTTATATTTGTGCCAGTATTGGTGGCACATCTATATATATATATATATATATATATAATATGGTGGTGCAAGATGGAAGGACTGTGTGCAGAATGACTTGAAGGAGAAGGGATTGACAACACACGAAGTGGAGGATAGGGAAAAATGGAGAAGACTCCACTGCAGCGATCCCACTTGAGTGGGACTAATAATGCAAATGAAGAAGAAGATTGGTGACACATGATCTATATAGAGATGCAGCCCACGAACAGACGCAGTGTAGCAGTACTATCACTAATGAGAGATACAACCAAAACTACTATATCAATACTTACAAATGTAGCTGTCGTATTCCAAACTGTATCTGACAAGTTCTGAAACAATGATAGAGCACACATATATATACAAACATCTTATGGATAGAATTTAACAAATAGTACAATGCTTGACATAGCTCTCATTGTAAAGCACTTCACTCTGCCCAAGGGCTATACAGCCAAGCATAAAGGAAGCCATTAGGGTACAATAACAACACACTATATAGCCTGCAAAATAAACAACCTAGCTTTGGCCTCACTCTAAACTCAAATTCAACCTCATCATAATTGGGCCAAATCGTGCCTCTTATCAAAGTAAAGAATCGTGTAAGCCACATTCAGATCGACTGAAATAACAGTGGCACTAGTGATTGGGCACTCTCATTCTCAATTCACAACTGGGTTCCTTCACACTTTGCTATACAGTCCCGTGGTGGAGTGAATCATTGAACGGCTACATGGTTAAAGCTATGTTTGATAATACCTGTAAATACAGTATTTTCCACCATTAAGCTGACAATAAAAGTAATAGGCACCATGTCCAGCTCCTACTGCGAATACTTATCATCTAAGCCTAGAGATACGGGTAGCCTACCAATCTCTTTGTAAAAACACTCAGATATTACCTCAGGGTGTCAAGTAACATGCTGGCCTTAAAAATAGGAAAAATAAAAATAGGAGTTAAAAAATAGGAGTAAGATTAATGTGAAAAATACAGGGAAAATAGTTTTCTTTTCATTATGTATTATAGATGACATCTCTGCTATGCTAAATGCAGATAGGATTTGACTCTTCAACATGTTTTTTTTCCTGGAAATACTGAGCCATTCCTTCTCCATGTAGGATGCACTGGTCCTACCCAAAGTCCTGCTGCCAGAAAACATCTGCCTTACTGTTTCTTTAAAGTGATCCACTAAACTTAGCCTATAATTACATCTAGATAAATTCTGCTGTCAGAGATGCATCGGGGTAATAAATAACTGATGGTCTTCCATCATCATGGATGAGAAAACTAACATGTGTTGCACAGATTTCTGAACAGATTATGGCTTTCCAGTGATTTGCATTCTTTGCGTGTTGAAGCATCTGACTCTTTCCGGTATTTGCTCATTTGAGCGAAACATCACAAAACGAGTAGGCATAAATTTTTTTTTTCAACGTACTATATTTACTTCCCTACTACTTAAAAATTAAGGACGTTTTACAGAGGATGTTTCAATGAGAAATGTGTTAAGCTGTTAGTCTGCTTAAGTTAATGTGTTTTCCTCAGCCTGAACTTAGAAGACAGAATGGCTGTTAGTTTGTTCACATTGATAAAAAGTGACTACTTCCATGTGCTCCATTTACCATGTCATTATACAATTTGCTTCATGTGTATTATATGGCAATATATACATAATATAGGTACCTACTTATTACGATACACATTGCATCCAAGTAAGGACATTATTCTGTCTAATGATCTCATGCAACCATCCATGTAATCACAGAAATTACTAAAAGATACTGCAGTTACTAACCCTCAATTATGACAATATATAGAACTTTTCAGTTTAACTTACAGGTAGAGTGAAGGCTTCCGTGCACTTGAAATGGTAAACTGGTGACCTTATATATGTCACATCTTTATACACGTCATTAATAAATCCCCCTTCTGGTAGTTCATGGTAAAACCTTAATGTAGTTTGCTGCAACAATAAAGATGTGTCAATATTAATTGCGGTGAAACCAAACAAAGAACGATGGGTAATTTTTTTAGTATCTCTGTATACTAGAGGAGTATGACTCGCTTGAAGCACAAGAAATTCAACGTTTCCATGCCCTAATTTACCTATGATTTATTAGTGAAACCCAATAAAAATGACATCAGAACTAGCATTGTACATCCAACTTGCCCTCACGCTTTACTTTGTGTCGATACTTCTTCCTATTATGTAGTTATAGCTTCGAACGTCAGACATGGTTTTAGTCACTGACATGGTCAATTGGCGATCGTTTCCGTGCGATTGCGCGAACAAAAGGCAGCTCGCTCTGAGACTCCTGTTGACAGGGTTCAGCAGGGATTTGCAACTCTCAAATTCTCGCGAGATCACACTGTAAAAACTGCCAAAATGTCGCCAAAACGAAAGCTTCTTATTACGGATTATTTTATATAACTGTATGTCATACAACATCTGTTTATCTGCACTCACAATCGTGGCGCAGGACAGAGCCAGCGGTCAGAACACGGTACTAATTTGCGAGTTGCAAATCCCTGCTGAACCCCGCGAACTGCATCGGGCGGAAACGATGGCCACTTGACTAGGTGAATGACTAAAACCATGTCTGGCGTTCGAAGCTATAACTACATAATAAGAAGAGGTACTGATACAAAGTAAAGTGTGAGAGCAAGTTGGATGTACAATGCTAGTTGCGAGATCATTTTTATTGGGTTTCACGTAATAAATCATAGGTAAACTAGGGCATGATCAGGCACCACCCTATGTGCCACATAGGCACGAGCAGGGATCAACTAAACTAGGGCATGGAAATGTTGAATTTCGTGTGTTTCGAGTGAGTTATTCTCCTCTATATTATAGACTCCTGCTATTTGTATATGATTTTACAATCACAGAATAGATTTCGCTTGTATTCACAATTTAACCATAGGTAGATTCATCAATGCCACACTTTAAAGTTCAAACCGTGAAAATAACTTTCTAAATTGATAGGTGCTTCTTCACTTATTCCTGTATCAGTATCCTTATCCCTTATCAATTATCCTTATTCCCTTATCAGTAAGTAGTGAGGGGCGACATTTATTAGTTGATCTATCTGATGAAATAAAAGAAGAGATACGCAGTGTTTGATTTACATGTCTTTAGTTTCTGCAACAATATTTAGGAACCCGACTATACTATAAATGCTGAGTTACATGTATACTTATATTATTACCAATGCTGACTTACATTTTGTCCCAAATATACATACTCCTGGGCACAGGGTGTCCTTCTCATCACCCATGACACAGCAAGGGTGATATCTGTGTGATCCTCGTGATCACATTGCACTGTTGTAACACACATAAAACACGATCTTTAATAAAACACCATTCAAATTGGGAAAATAACTGACCCCTCTTATTACTGGATTAAAATAACTTCTCTAATACAGACCCAGGGTGCAAAATTAATGCGAGTCCAGAGTCAAACACTCCCTGATTTACTGTCGGACTCCCTGATTTGACATATATGCAGGAGTCCGTGTGACTCCCTGAAAATTCTGCTAAACTAACTAGTTCGTTCCAGAGCACGGCCTTGCAGAATTACAGATTTTTTTTTTAGCCAATCTCCCAAGAAAATTTGGCAGATGTGCGCCACAAATGTCCTTTTTGTTAAAATCTTTAATTTTGAACTTCAGACTGCTGACTCCCTCATTTTGCTGTGGACTCCCTCATTTTGAGGGTAGGGAGTCGATTGGATTCGCTTGTTCAAGTTATTTTCTACACCTGCAGACCATAGTATGTAGTTCACCTTTATGCAGGAGCGTAGCTAACCCATTTTCCCTGGAGGGGAGGTATGTGCATGGTGTGTTCTGGAAAGGTGACTGCTATTGTCACCATATATTAAACCAACTTTTTTTTCCGGGGGCGAGCCTGCTAGCTACGGCCCCGTTACACCACCTACTGCAAAAGCCCTGCCAAACACCGCAACATGCAATGTGAGCCGTCTTAAGAAAAGGTGCCTAAGCCATGTAAACCACCAGTGAGCAGGGTTATGGGCAAACAGAAATTCCCAAGACACCAAATTTATGATAGATTAATTATGTTCCTTCAATAACAGTATGAAGTAAATTTAAAGAAAAATATTATCTCATAAGCAGCACAACTAAAACCTTCTAATAACCAGTTTAGAATTGCAATTTTTCATTAAACTCAATGAATTTTTTACCTTGCACAAATGACTTGGCTGTGCTGTACATGCTCTTTGAAATGCCGATGTAAATTGTCTGGAAATATATCAAAATACAGTTATTATACATGTACAAAATATATGTACATGTTTTAAAAAGACTTTACTATTATCAATTTATATATAAAAATAAAATAAAATAAAATAGATTAAAATATTATATCTTAAATAATAATTTCCGTCTGGTCTGGTGTTGTACCCACTTTTACGATATACTTACCGTTATTGCTTGAGCAGCAGCAACTGTCTAGATTAACGCTTACTTTAAGGAACCTTCGTACATAGAGCTCTATATTGACCAAAACATGCATGCGCAGTTCGAATTTTCGTTACCCGTTTTGATTTCCGCTGTCATTTCTTGCAAATACCTCGTGATAGCGCGAGACATTGGCAAGGGATAAACTTGTATTGTTTGAATTCATTTGAATTAGGTCCACTTGTTTTGAATGCGCCATTTGCAAATTAATTGTGGCTACCGAAACTTCACTGTGGAACTTTTCTTTATTTTGAATGTGCTACAAAGCTGTTTTAAATTAACAAATTTTGATGTAAGGGCAAAGGTATTATTATTATATAATATGTAATAGAAATAATAGAAGTACGAATTAAACACCTCAGGTCGATTACTGATGCGAACAAAAAACACTTACAACTTTTTAGTTCCTTAGAATGGCCGCATTCAGACACAAATTATAACTTGTTGACAATTTCTGACCACCTCCATGACGATGCCCTGATATTACCACAAACCTTGAGATTTCATGTTTCTGTTTTTGATTGCGCTATAATATTGCAGTTACCAATAAAGGGCTAACGATTCACTGATACATCGGTGAATCGCAATACAGCGACCCAGGAAACGATAATTGATACACAGCGTCTCTAAAACGAATGTTAAAGGACAATTGAAGTCAAATTTCATAACTTCTGTAACGTTTTTATACATAGAAATACATTCAATAACGTATTCCATTTCAAATCCGGCACCCAATTAGTAATAAACACATGAATAGTAATCTAGTTTATGTGACGTCACAGCCCCATGTTGAGCGACGCCACGCTAACGCAAGTTGAGTGTTGTGTATAAGATGGAAACAGACGGCGATAATTTCAATGATTCTAGTGATTACTCAGATGATGATGATATTTATAGTGATTTACCAGTTGGATATAGGTTTGAGCCTGAATATACACAAGAAGAAATTGAGGAGAATAGTCTGAAAAAGCAACGCAAAGAGTCGGCACAAACTTCTCAAGAACCAGAACAGTCACAACATGGCAGAATGGAAGCTTCGGTACCCGATAGGACTGTAGACAAATACTGGTGTTCTTGTGGTGTTTGTGAATTAATGAGTACGGCAATTGAATGTACATGCTGCCATGAGAATGAGAAGACCAGGGTTATTGTAGACCAGTTCGACGCTAGACCAGGTTAGTCATGCGAGTACACTGATCACTGGGCTTATCACGCTCGGTCAGAATCATGTATCTGTACATGTACATGTATCTACGCACGGCAAGTCATGTACATATACCGTGAATGCATTATCCATGCAGGTAATATGTATGTACATGTAACATGAATATAAGTACATTTACAGGCTACGTGTGTTTGTGTCTTGACATGATAAATAAGCATCAGAAATAACAAAAAACATCGAATATTTAACCACCGCACACACCATGTTTACATAATGGCGTCGCTCAACATGGGGCTGTGACGTCACATGACCTAGATTACTATTCAGTTATTTCTATTGTGTTTATTACTAATTGGGCGCCAGATTTGAAATTGGATACGTTATTGAATGTATTTCTATGTATAAAAACGTTACAGAAATTATGAAATTTGACTTCAATTGTCCTTTAAACAGTGAATAAGGCAAGCTAAACTATTTTATAAAACACATGTAATTCCTTCCAAATTGAATTCTTTCTTCTATTTTATGAATTTCCTCTCAGCATCGGTATGTCTATATATATATATATCAGTGTTCGAAATAAGGGCTATCCACTTGTCCTCACTTGTCCATTTCCACGAAGGACAAGTAGACCTGTCCAGTAGCTTGTTCGCTGGACAAGCAGCTTTTTAGAGCAACTTTTTAGAGCAATTTTTCATCATTTTCTAGCATCGATGGCCGCCGCCATTTTTGGGTGATACTCCATTAGGAGTGTTCCCAACTTTAATGTCATTAATGGTCATAATAACACATATATATATATATATATATGGTCTGGTCATATAATTAGTTTGTGGTTTAATGTCATTAGTTTAGGGTTAGGGGTTAGGTCTAGGGTTAGGATTATCAATATTAAATCATTATATATACTCGAGAGTGTGGGAACATTGCTAATGGACGTTTTTTAGCCCATTTTTGCTTGTTTTCGTCTACTATCAACAAGTGATATGAGCCAGGAAGAGAGAAGAGAGAGAGAGAGAGAGAGAGAGAGAGAGAGAGAGAGAGAGAGAGAGAGAGAGAGAGAGAAGAGAGAGAGAGAGAGAGAGAGAGAGAGAGAGAGAGAGAGAGAGAGAGAGAGAGAGAGAGAGAGAGAGAGAGAGATAGCGAGAGTCGGACAGAGAGAGCGATAGAGAGGCGTGTGTGTATTAGTATTACTATTAGTATTAGTAGGGCCTACGCATGTGATGATCATGATGATTGATGTGATCGATTTGATCAAATTTGAGTATCTCCACCACATGCATAAACTCTGGGGTTTGCATACTAATCATTACGATTGCGCGAGATTATATATTACAACTACTAGTACTAGTAGTAGCACTAATAGTAGTAGTACTACTACGCTTTAGCAATGGGCTTTTGAAGCAATAACTGCCAATAGAAATAGCCAATGGCAATGGCAATAACTTAGTAAGCAATGCCAACCGGCCTAATATTAATAATAGTAATAATAGTAATTCCATGTTCCAGTCTAAGCGTATTCACAAAAAATCGGTTAAACGTTAAATTTCTTACCCCATTTATTTTATCATATTTAAATTCCCAAGTTCCTTGCTCTGGTAAAGCCAACGCTGATAAGAAGATAAATGCGAAAGCCACGAATGAATATATCCACATCGCTGCCATGATTGTACGTTTTCCTAGTTCCTGTTCCGAGTCATGACGTAATCCCCATAGCTGGACCTACTAAATACCGAAATGTGTCGAATTGTTATAAAATTTTACTTCAAAACATTTCAAAATGTGCAAAGAAATGTAAACAGTAGCTGTCAAAATAAACAATGTCTCGAGTGGAGCGTTCTTCTCTACATTAACTTCATAGATTTCAAAAAAGCTTTTGATGGCATACACCAGGGCACTTTTATGGAAAATACTGCACTCTTTTGCCATCCAAGCAAAAATTGTAGATCGGATTATAATCACTAAATTCTATGAAGGGTTTCAGTGTTCAGTCATTGTAGACAACACGCTATCTGACTGGTTCCCTGTCAGCTCAGGCGTGGGACAGGGATGCATCATCTCAGCCATCCTCTGTTTAGTCGTCATAGACTGCATGGACTATGAGAAAACCCACGTGCGGAAGACCATAGAAGACGGGGAACCCCGTGGGGGAGGGGACTCCCATTGTTAAATTGACTACGTCACAAATTTTCTATGGTAAAATTTGTAAAATTTGTGTTGCCATTTTTTTTACATTAAAAGCAGGGCCGGACTAAGCATGTGGGGGGCCCGGGGCACGCAATTGTGTGGGGGCCCTCTAGTCTGTATTTTTTCCGCACTTTCATGCTTGCAAATTCAGAGAGTATTTCATCGTGTTTCAATGAATTTAAAATGTCACTTTCGATAGCGAGAATACTGAGGTTTACCAGTCTCTGTTGGCCGATCGTGGTTCTCATGGGATTTTTAATCAACTTGAGTTTTGAAAATGACCTTTCACCGCTACAATTCGAGACCATCAATAATCAGCTGAACAGCGAAATTCAGTCAGCGAAAGAGCATGGGAAACGCATCACTTCAACGTTACATGCTAAGAATTTTGTGGATCACAATTACGACAGTTTTGTAAATTTTAGGATACTCTAAATGTGGGGGGCCCCAAATGTGGGGGGCCCGGGGCACGTGCCCCTGTTGCCCCGCCCTTAATCCGCTAGTGATTAAAAGTAAGAACTAACTAAACGTATCGTCAAATTCTTACCTGATAAGATTGTTTCTCAACTAGTTAAAAATCCAAAAAACCTGGACGATTTGATATTATAGTGTTCCTAACATTAATTGCTTGCTATGGGCTATGTATGAGTCACGAGAGTATGTTCACATCGAACAATATAGTAAGATAAGAAGTATAATGCAGCAATTTAACCATAAAAAGTGAACAAAATTACTTATATTTTGTGAAAAAGTGGAAATATTTTTATTTTTATTACGATTTACGGTGACGTATAATCAGTACCGGTACGGGGGACGTACGTACCGCTGGACAGGGTATATTTTCCGAAATCATTATTGGCACTGGGTTATTTAGATATATTGGCCCACTATTGGCAAAACAATACTGGGCCAATATCACCGGGCCAATATTGGACCAATATTGGCAGAATTGGCCCAATATCGGCCCAATATTGGCAAAACAAAATCGGCCCAATAGGTATTGGCAAAACAATATTGGGCCAATATCACCAGGCCGATATTGGCATGCCAATATAGGCAAGCCAACATTTAGGTCGACCCCAATATGAACAACTTAATTTAGCGGCACTATATCGGTAAGCTAGCATAGGCGGGTCCATGATTGGTCCACGATAGACATTCTCGTACCAGTTTCTGAGCACTGTTGTGTGTGCAATATTGCAACCGCTAGGGTATATATATTATATCAGGAGTAAGATAATATAGATATAGTCTATATTATCTTACTCCTGATAATATAGATATAGTCTATATTATCTTACTCCTGATTATATAGTATGCTTTGTTCCACCTCCGTTTCCTTTTTTTATCATACCAGAAAAATTAAGAGTATAGGAACGGATCGAAGGTGGTATATGAAAAAAGGAAACGGAGATGGAACAAGGCAAAGAAAACCGAGTCAGACACTGATAGGGAACTCTACGAAGAGACCAAACGAGAAATGAAGGAGGAACTACAATCAGAACATAATATAGCTAGAGAATCTATTTGAAAAGGACGCAGGGCTCATGCAACACCAATTCAGACTTTGGAATTTCATCAAAAATAAGATAAAAGATATTATTGGCATACCAGCACTTTTTCACAATGACAAAGCATGCAGAGGTCTTAGCAGACCCGTATGAATCAGTGTTAACCATAGACAATAAAGACGTACGTACAATATTCTCGACAAGGGCCCATCACCTCACCCAACCATGGAGGACATCTCCATTACATTACACGGAGTAGGGGCCTAATTAAATTACTAAAATCACTAAATCCCAAGAAAGCAATTGGCCCTGACAAACTCCCAACCACAGTGCTAAAAAAACTATGCAGAAATTATAGGGCCGACGCAGGCGACGCTGTGTCTTATGCACCAGCAAAGTTTACGCACTGGTGACATGCCAGAGGATTGGCTAAACGCAAACATCCTAGCTGCCCACAAGAAAGGAAGCAAATCTGTTCCGGCAAACTACAGGCCCATATCCCTTACCTGTGTATCATGCAAAGTCATGGAACACATCATATTCAGGAGTGTGATGGACCACTTTGACCATAACAATATACTTGCAAACTGCCAGCATGGAATCAGGAAGTCTCACAGCTGTGAGACTCGGCTGCTTTCCACTGTTAACGACCTAAGTCACAGACTGGATAATCAAGAACAAGTAGACGTGGTGATCATGACTTTGCAAAGGCTTTCGACACAGTCCCCCACATTAAACTTATTCATTAACTAAATTACTATGGCACAAGAGGAAAAACTTTGGTATGGATTAAAAAATGGTTGACCAGATGACACCAAATTGTAGTGTTAGATGGTAAACACTCAAGAAAAATACAAGTCAAATCAGGGGTCCCCAGGGAACAGTCCTAGGTCCCCTCCTGTTCCTCGTTTTTATCAACGACATATGTGATGACATCGACTCAACACTGCTACTGTTTGCAGATGACTGTCTCATCTACAAACCCATCAAAACTGGATCAGATACAGAGCTTCTCCAAAAGTACCTTGACAAGCTGCATGGTTCAATGGACCAATACCTGGCAAATGTCTTCCAATCCGAAAAAAGTGCACCAGCCTCACAATATCAAGGAAACAAACCCCAATAAAGCAGACCTACACGATCATGGAAACCAAGCTCAAAAAGAAGGAACATCAACTCTACCTCGGTGTGGCGTCACTGATGATCTCTCCTGGTCTACCCACATCAGCCGGTTGAAAAAAATGGCAACCCGGGCCCTAAACTTTATCCGCAGGAACCTTGTAGGATGCCCAGAACCTGTCAAAAAGATGGCCTACAAAGCATACGTGGGGCCAAGTCTCGAGTATGCAAGTAGTGTCTGGGATCCACACACTCAGAAGGACATTTCTGGAGAAGGTGCAGAGACAAACAGCACGCTTCATAACGGGAAATTACCAGCAAACTGAGAGTGTCACACAAATGATCACAGACCTACAATGGCCCTTCTTGCAAGAGCGCAGTTTCGTCAACCGGCAGGCCCTATTCTGGAAAATAATCAACGGACAGGCAGCAGTCGACATTCCATCCTTCCTCACCAAAGCACCAGTATATGCCGCGGCACACACCGGCTCACGTACAACAACATCAGAACCCGGACAGATGGGTACAGGTTCAGCTTCTTTCCTAGAACAATCAGAAGCTGCAACCTGCTACCGGAGTCGCTGCTCGCTAGTCCAACAGCACAGCAGTTCACTGGGTCTCTCTGGCAAAACATTGAGTCAGGCAGTATCGTTGTTAAGCCACCTCGAGGAAACAAAACACATCTCCGGCTGGGCAACTATAACAGCTCTCAACAGGCTATTACCGTATGCTAGTCGCTCTCAGTATTGAGTGCCTGGCCCAGAGAAGCCTCGATCTCTGGAACACGTTACTGTCTACATTTGCTAAAAATATTTTATACTAATCTTTCACATGGAGTAGGGCGCAAAGCAGTTTGCGACAGGGTCAGGTTTTTAAGGTCCCGAAGCACCTCAATCCCTGCCCAGTTCCGAGGCGAGTGCCCCCTCGGGACGGGGAATACGGTGGACGCTGTTTTCCCAGTTGGAGGATCTCGACTCGCTGACGACCTCGCAATTCTCGCCATGACGCCAGCCACCTTCAAGAGAAGATCGGCTCAATAACTTCGCCAAGCAAACGGGACTGAGCATCAGTTTGGAGAAGACCAAGGTGATGCGTGTCAACTTCAACGCAACCCCAGCAACCTGATTTTGTAGAAGACTTTACATATTTAGGAATTGTGTTGTAGTCCGGTAGTTAAAGATGAAATATCGATGCTACCCGGAAAAAAGTACAAAACTGATTTTGGTGTCAAACGAAGCAGAATTCTGAGTAGAACAACATATAAAAAATCCGCAAAAATCTCCTTTGGGTAATTCTGCATGTTTGCATGTTTTGCTATGGGAAATGAGCATGAGCAAGGCTCGTCAAGTGATATGGAGATTGAGATGCCTCTAAGTAATAATGGTATAAACACTGCAATTGCAACACCTTCTGTTAGATAAGTGGAAACAGGTACTCATTCAGAGGGCCAAAGTGAAAGTCTGGAGGATCCCCAAGACCCCTTGACCAATGTCGAGATGGAAATACCTGCTGCAGCAATGGAGACTGGTATCGATGAGAACAAACTGAATAGCACAGAAGTAGAACAGATTCGACTTAGATGAAGGAATCAAAGACTAATCTATACGAGTGGCCGGTATTGCTGAATCAAAGGCTGAAGAAGTTACATGATTGCTTATTAAAGTATAGAGAATTGCTTGCTGAGAGGTCACCAGCAGCCATGTTGGGGTTGCAATATATTGAATACGTGGAAACGTTGAAGAATTTCATTCGCGCTGAAAGAACCGGAGATTGGAACCTGCATCTCATAGCTGTTACACAAATATTGAATTGATTTGCTGCAACTGGCCACGTCAATTATGCAAAGAGTGCACGATTGTACTTGCAGGCTTGCAGCTGATGCTGGAATTACGAACACACCACCATATTATTGTTTCACAGAACAAGGATTCCATACAGTCCGCAAAAGCAATCACATTTGGGCAGGAATATGGACAGACCTTACAATTGAACAGGTCATGATGGGATCCATCCAAACCAGAGGAGGACTGACTAGAGAACAGGGTGTGGCGGATACTGTTTGTCTGGAGATGGGTTTCTCATCATCGAGCTGTTCACTTCTCCACTGAAATAAGCTTTCAATGGTCCAAACACAGATCTGTCCAGAGGTCGTGTTTTGTGGCTTG